TAGTAGCCAACATGCTCTTTATGAAGCAATTAATTTGCTTCAAAATGAAAATCAACAGTAAAGTAATAATTTAATATATATAATAATAATCTTAAGAGGCGTGGCGCCTTAGAGAAGTGGTCAAGGTGTCACTCCCCAAGCGGCAGATTGACAGTTTGAATCCCACTGATGACATTTTAAAGTTAAATCTGTGTTCGGTAATTGTGGCTTCTGATCGGTTGGGTGTAAAACCTGTAATTCTGGTTCCACCATCTCGAATAGGAGCCTATAGGTGCAATAATGCAGTAATGCATCGCAAATCCAGAAAACCAGAAAAAACCCACAAGAACCTGTTTAGCAAGTTCCGAGTTAGGAGGTAGTGAAATCAGTCCATATGGTATAGGCCAAAAAGAAGTCTAGTACTATGATTGGAATGAACCTAATAAGGCAGATAGCTTCAGTTATTAAATCTGGCAATAATTACATGTTTGGGATATGGAAAGTTGTTTGGTAGGCAGTTGGTATGAAGGTAAAGTAGCCCTTAGGCTGTCATAATAAAAAGGTCGGGCCTGTTATATCTGCAATATGTAGTGAGTCAGGTTAGTAATAGGAGAATCATAAGTCAGAAGGTTTAAATATGCAATTCCCATAGTTGGGTTGTAGGTATAGCAGCTAGTGTAGAACCTTTGGGCGAACTACTTAAATTAGACACCAAAAGTGCATGTATGGCTAGTTGTATCCTTACTTATGTAACAAATATTACGTTAACTCATAATAAAAAATCGGCCATAGTACCCGGCCTCTAAATAAAAAAAAATAATAATAATAATAATCATAAAAATAATAATAAAAGTAATAATAATAATTGTCGTGGCTGAAGCTTGAAATAGCTGATGATTAAAATTAGGAACCTCGATTTAAAAATATATATCCTACCAAAATCTATTTGTACATTTTAATTATCAAAACTAACTCTAAATTTTAAGCCAACTATAAAAAAAGCTAAAATAATGCACTCTAAATTTTTTGAAATTTTTATATTAAAATATTTAAGATTTCAAATATCAGTCATTTCAAGCTTCAGCTGCAACAATAATTTAGATTGGTGCAAAAAGTTAGATTATTGTGGACACAAGTAGCAGCATTAGGAAGAGAAGTAGTAGTATTAAGAAGAAAAGCAGTAGTATTAAGAAGAGAAGTAGATGATATGGAAGAACAGATAGAAGATTTGGAGAAAACCATAGAGAATACTGAGTTTTATATTAGAGCAGTTCAGGCAGGAACTAGAAAAAAAATATTTAGTATATGAATTTGGTGGCAAAGTAGAATATTTTAAAGGCTGAAGTGGAGAACTTGCAAGATTTAATTAAGAACATTCCAGTTTTAAATTAATTTTTTTCTTTTCTTTCTTTTCTTTTTCTTTTCTTTTTTTATATTAATTGTTCAGTTCTCTAATAAGTTTTCATGTTGTTTATTACTATTTTTCATTTAACTTTATTTATTTTGAATAGCGAAGTTGTCCATAAGGCTCATATTCCCTAAATGTAAAAAGTAATATCTATTTTATATTCAACTTTACTCAAATTTTGAATAGCGAAGTTGTAGTTAAGGCTTATATTCCTTAATATAAATTTTTCATATCCATCTTATCCAATATTTAAATGACAGAGTTGTCTATAGAGCTTATATTCTCTAAATATAAGATATAATTTTTCAAAGTTTGATTACATTCCTACTAATATTCTTTTGTTCCTTCTGATTCATAAAATTCTCATAAAAATAATGAATAAGAAAAGTGAATAGAGTTCTAACTATTGCTCTAAACTGTTTTAGACACTATATTATACTAGGCCTATAGGAAAAATACAAATAAAATAATTTAAATAATTGAAATGCTAACAAATAAATAATAAATAATAATAAATAATAAATAATAAATAATAGATAACTAATAAATTAATTGTTTATAATTTTTTGTTTCTAGTTTACCAATTATCAATATATTAATAAAACTTTTCTAAAAGTTTTTTTTTAAAAAAAAATTATAAAAAGTTTACTATAGTGCTAATGCATTATCATGACTTCTAGGTTGGCAGAGTTAACAAGACCACTAGCTGAATTCGAATCCACAACTCTATAATGGCTATATGCCTTCACCATTTTACTATAGTAGATATAATTTTTTGTTATACAGTTTTTGAAGATCAATTTTCTAATTAAAGTGTCTAATAAGATTAAGACTTTTCATATGATCAAAATTAAAGTTTGTTGTATTTAAGGAAGTATGCATTATACTGCATAATTTTTATTTTGACAAAAAAAAATTCTTTTAACAATCATTAAATAATAATAATTTTGGTAAAAATGCGGTATTCTATTTTACATCAACACATTTGAGTTCAAAGAAGAGATGATATCCAAGCTCTTTATGAAGCTTTAGACTTTGTTCAAGCTATAAACAGAAGGTAATAATAATAGTAGTAATAATACTATATATAAATAAAAGAAGTGATACTAATATTGATAAAATAATAATAAAAATATAATATAATATAATAGGTTGGCAAGAGAAATTCAAGAATTAAGAAGGTAAATTAGAGTCTTAAATACCCAAATTGCTAGATTAAATAGAACTATTGAAGATCAGCAAGAAACAATAGTAGACTTGGTTGCAAGAAATTGGCCCAAAAAACAGCAATATAATTGATTACTTATAGAGAAAAATAGACTTCAAGCAAGATTAGAAGATGCAGAAAAGGAGCTTTGTCAAGAAAGAGAAAGAAGAGTCCATTCAGAGAATAGAAGAAGAGAAGAGGTAGAATGAAATGTTTGTTGATATATATAAGGGTTCAGATAGTACAATTATATAATTTTCTTATAAATAATTCTTTTAATTTGATAAAATTCTTTTAAAATTTTGTAAATACATTAATTGTCTAATAAAATAAAATTTCTACATTTTTTATTAACTTATTATTTCACATTCAACTTTATTCAATTTTGAATGGTGAGGTTGTCTATAGAGCTCATATTCTCTAAATATAAAAGCAATTATTTATATTTAACTTTATTCAATTTTGAATAACGGAATTGTCAATAAGGCTCATATTCCCTAAAATATGATGTCTAAATAATATTTATATTCCAAAAATTATTTCTTCTACTCTACAATATTTGTAAAGATTTGTTACTTTAAGCTAAAACTATATATATATTTTTTTTTTTAATTACTCTCGTAAAATAAAAAAATTATAAAATAAAAATTAAATAGAGCTCTAACTATCGCTCTAGACTGTTCTAGGCTGCTTATTATACTGGCCCAATTAAAAGAAAATAAAATAAAATAAAAAAATAATAAGTTACAACTATAAATTTAATAAAAATATTTTAACAATTTTTTAAAATGTTCTTCATCCAAATAATATATGTGTTTAGATTTTAATTTCTTTATTCTATAAATATTATGATATTTAACTGTTTTGAAAAGATGATAAATTCTAATCCACATAGCTCTGTTTTTAAAATTAATTTCTATTTCCTGATTATGAAGATAAGCTAATACTAGTGCTCTCAAATGATAAGAATAAGTAAGCATTTTAATTCATTCACCATACTTTGCTTCAGTATAGTTTATAAGTTTTAGAGAAAAATTTATCTCAAGAAGTATTAATAAGCATTAATACTTCTATAGGATGAATTTGATTTTTATCAAGTAATGTACATTTTAATTCACCAAAAACCTTTTTCAAAAGTTTTACTTGATAATTCATAATAAATTGATTTAAAAAAAAAATTAAAATATAGTTGAGAAGAAATATAAAGAAATATAAAAATAAAAATAAAAATAATATAATATAATAAAAAAGAAAAATAAAAAAAAACATTTATAAAAAAAAATTACAATACAATATCTTGAAAGTTAATTAACCCAATTGATTGTAGTTGTGATAAAAATAGAAACATTATAAAAGTTCAAAATACTATCAACCTAGATAGAATCAAATTTATAAAAAATTTTTAAATAAAATTTTAAAAAAATAAAAAAAAACAAGTATTTAACAAAATTCAATTCAATAGCCTCCTAAGGCACTATAAGGATTTTACAATAGGTCAAAATATGGGATAACACCTATTGTCCTTTGTGTGCAGCTGAGTATAACACAAAAATGTTTGCCTTTTACAAGGAATATTAATCACTAAAACTTAAAGATATCCTAAGATATAATCAGAAGAAATAATACTAATATTCAGACCATCAATGACTATATATGGCCTCAAATTCCAAATAATATATATAAAATATATTATTTTACAAGAAAGAGTAAAGAATTTTACAAGAAATATAAAATAGTAAAAATAAAATAAAGAGAAGGCTATCATGTATAGATGATAGATAGCAAAAAGATCAAAATTTTAAAAGAAAAAGAGGGTTGGAAATCACAAAAAGCAAAAGAATTTTGGTCCTGTCATCATTGCCAAACTGTAACGTAGTGTTGTTAGCTAAGGATCTAACAACACTACATTACAATAGTAAATAAATGCCATAGATTCATCTTTCTCAACTCCAATTCCATTTTCGTAACAATAACCAACATCAAACATTCTATCAGCATATCCCATATCAGCAGATTTTTTATAATAAATGAATGCCTTATGTTTGTCCTTTTCAACACCAAGTCCATCTTCATAACAAGTGCCAACAGAATATGTTCCTTTGGCATGTCCCATCTCGGAAGATTTATAAAAATAAATAAACGCCTTATTATAATCTTTTTCGACTCCATCTCCAGAAAAATAACATTCGCCAAGGCTAAATACTTCTTCAGCGTTCTTTATTTCAATAGGTTTTCGATTATCACTATGTTCATGCACAAATGTATCATCTTGTGAAATGCCATCCATAATTAATAGCCTTTGGCTGTTTTACTCAACTTGGTTTTCTAATAATAACGTTATAATCGTTAAAAATGAATATAAATATCATAATGTCATAAAGTAATGATTACCTATATCCATGGCACTTAGAGTATCAAATTGCCTGTTGACAGGATATGTATCGAAATGAGATGACGTTGACATTTTGACTCAAGCATTTTATCGGCCTTCTTTGTTTGTGCAACTATTTCAGTTGGTTTATCGTCTAAAATATCATTATACCATGTATTTAGAATGTCATATATTTCTTTAGAAGTTGGTCTTTTGTCTGGCCGAATATCCCAGCATTTAATAATCAATTTAGCAACTAATTCTGGTACATGGTTTGGAATGTCTGGACGTAAGCCATGAAATATCTTACGAGATAATTGGATGTCGTGTTGAGCATTGTGGTATGCTCGAAGACCTGATACTATTTCATATGCAATGATGCCAAAAGAATACACATCAGACGCCAAACTATACTCTCTATTATATAAAACCTCGGGTGCTATATATTCGAGTATGCCATATACTTTGTCATTGGATCCTATATTAGCTAATTTTGAAAGTCCTAGGTCTACAATATATGCACTCTGGAAGTTTACTAAGAGTATATTTTTACTATGTAAATCTCGATGAATAAAATTTTGGGAATGAATTATATGAAGGTCATAAGCAATACAAGTTAATAAATTCTTTTTTTTTTTCACCCCATTTGTGAAATTGACTATCTATTTTGGTGTAAAGAACCCGATGATTCATACTGCATAACAAGTATATAATTTTTGGAAACATTATCTCTTGATATACCCAAACACCTTAAAAACTCGGTTGTTTAAGACTAATATCACAATATACCTTTAACTTTTTATTATAAAATTAAATGTCTTTTTAAATGTCGTTCGATTATTATATAAATTTTTGAAAAAGAAAATAATGAAAATTACCTCGTTTATAAATTCTTCACTACAGTCATTCGACCTATGAAGTAATTTAAGTGCAACCGTCATTTTTGTTTTGCGACTTTTGTCATCCCATAATGCACGAAATACAGTTGAAAATCCACCATTCCTATTTCTTTAATATTTTTAATTCATTGTAAGGAATCAATGGCAATCGGTATTTATTTTCAACTAGCATTGTTTCAGACTATCATCAATATCCAAGTTGTCATGTATCCATTCATTTATAACTAAAATCAATACAATCTTTGTTAATTTAGGTTCAAGAGTATCTTATTGAATTCATAGCTTTAGGAAAACTCACATGGTCTTGGATTGTTTTCCCTAATTAGTGACAAAAAATATATATTATAAATAACAAAAAAATAAATAAATAAAAATAAAAATAATAAAAGATAGTTTCTTACATTCGATACCAATAATCAGCTTTTTGTAAGTCTCTTACTACTCCAATTCCATTTCGATAACAATATGCGACTTCATTCATTCCATCAAAATTTCCCATTTCAGCAGATTTTTGGAAATAAATAAATGCCTTATAATCATCATTTTCAACACCGATTCCATTCTTATAGCACATTCCAACTTGATAGATTCCAAGAGAAGATTGCATCTCTGCAGATTTTTGGTAATAAATAAATGCCTTATTCTCATCAATTTCCACTCCAATTCCATCTAGATAACAATCACATTCCGGAAACACTCCCCATATCAGCAGACTTTTGATAATAAATGAATGCTTTGTAATCATCCTTTTCTACACCAATTCCATTTAAATAACAATTTCAAACGGCACATATTCCTTCAGGAAGCTCAAGATCTGCAGATTTCTGGTAATAAATAAATGCATTGTGTTCGTTTCTTTTAACCCCAATTCCATCTTCATAACAAACGCCAAGTTTAAATGTCCCATAAGCATGACCCATCTCAGCCGATTTTTGATAATAAGTGAATGCTTTAAATACATCACTTTCGATTCCAATCCCATTTTCATAACAATTTCCGACATGAAACATTCCATCAACATCTCCCATGTCAGCCGATTTTTGATAATGAATGAATGCCTTGTATTCATCTTTTTCAGTTCCAATTCTATTTTCAAAACAATAACCGACACAATATAATCCTTTAACACATTCCATGTCTGCAGATTTTTGGTAAGAAGTGAATGCTTTATATTCATCCTTTTCTACTCCAATTCCATTTTCATAACAATTTCCAACCATACACGAAAGTCCCATCTCAGCGGATAATTTATAATAAGTGAATGCTTTATATTCATCCTTTTCAACACCAATTCCGTTATGTAAACAATATCCAGTTTTAAAAATTTCGGATTCATCTATTTCATCTTTTTCTACACCGATTTCATTTGGATAGCATTTATCAACTTGATAAATTTCATCAGAATCTCCCATTTGAACGCATTTTTGATGATAATGGTTCATTTAACAAAAAATATATATCTATTCATGTTTGTACTACGGTTTCTAGTCTTGGTTCCGATTGGTTCGTGTTGTATACCGAATTTTTTAAAGCAATTCTAATTTATATAATTTAAACGTTAAAAAACATTTCGACAGTTTTTTTATGTTATAGTGACTATACAATAATTGTCGTGAAATCGGATGATGGTGAAATTTAGGGAAAATATAAGCCCTACCAAAAACCCACCTATACTCTTTTACTAATAACTCTAACCCTAAATCCTATAATAAAAAAACCGAATTTGGATCTATTGTACGATTTGGGGCCTTTTTTTGTCGATTTCACGATCATCCGTGACAATAATTATGAGGACGCCCACAGCCAAAGCAGGGGATGGGACTATATATTATATAGTCTCATCCCCTGCTTTTGCTGTGACCATTCCCATATGGTGATGCAAATGATTGGTTAAACTTTATGATCGAATAAAAGCATAGAAGGTTCAGGAGATATAAATGAAAAACAATTCTTAGACGCAGACAACATAGTCAAAGCATTGCCGGTTATCTCGATTTTATGTATACTGACAAAACTATCAACACTCAAAAAAGATTATCAAGTGAAATTAATATTTATTCACTCTTACATATGGTAGTCATAATTCGGCATTCATTTTTCTGCTATCTCTATATTATGTAATATCATTTACCAACAGAATAGTACATTTATGATAAATTTAATAAAATAAATCGAATAATATGTGTCAAATTGACGATTAAAAAGTTTTTCTTTTTCAATATAAATAACCTTAACCCCAACAATTCAAAATAAAAAAATACATAAATTACTATGTTCTAAATATACAATGCGTGAATTTATTGGTTTAATGAAAAAATTTAAATGATTAGACAAATGCAAAAATGTTAGAATTATAAATTCTCTAAAAAGTTTTTTTTTTCTCCTTTGTAAACAACTTCATATTAATAAGCATGTTAAAGTCCACATAAACAATGGAATCATAAGATTATCATTTTGGTATGAGACAGCTTCTAAGAAAGCTATATAAAAAAACATAATCAGCATTTAAATGTCAATGTTCAATCAATTACCTAGTACAGATTGAAACCTACCTGTGATTGAGACAGCAAGCGTATAATATAACCACTATAAAATTACCATCAACAAATTTTTAAGTTATAATGAATTATATTAAAAGAAAATAACTAATCCCAATTAATACCTCTTCTACGCCTGGTAACAAATTATCCCTTGACCATAAACGAGTCACTGCAAATGCACCCAATAAATGAGATATGATAAACGCAATGGTCCCTTCAACTGTCTTTGATGTTCCAGGCCAACGTCTGCGGCCATAACGTTTACCAATTATAGATGCCTAATGAAAATAAATTTTGCTTGTTATTTTGTTCCTTGATAATCAATAAAATATCGATAGTTAAAGATATTGAAGACAAACCATAGCATCACCAAGACCTAAAGTTAGAATACCTGACATATTAGCCAGGATGGAAGTCCTATATAAAGATAAGGATTGAATCAATTCAAAGCATTCAATCTCAATTGTGTTCCCAACAGGATTCTTAAACAATACACATGCATAACACAAATATGAAAATGCCACGATGTTACTTTGTCCTACTCCTATTTAATCATGAATGGTAATCAACCTACCCTTGCATCCAGATGCATGCAGCACATCCAACTAGCAAGTATAAATGGCTTAGAATACAAGGACCTGAATCACGATTATCTAAAAATTCACTTAGAAAAATGTGTATATTTTTTCCTAAAGGATATACAGCAAAATACCGCAAATATTCTAAAAATATGAAGGCAGAAAGAGCCACACTAAATGCCAAATGCATGAATTCGGGCTAGAAAAATTTACAAGTAAATAACATATATACTAAAAGAACATAATACATTCAAATAATTCATATACCTCAAAAAAATATCCAGGAACAAACATAATTACGGTTAGAAAATGAAAATATTTTCGCTTGGTGTTTAAAGAATATATTCTTCGTGTTTGTGGTATGTGAGTGAATAGTACAATTGAAATTGTAATTATAATAGTCCAGTACAAGCACAACACTATTCTTGCAGGTGTTTTGAAAGCAAAATGAAATATCCTAAAATTATGATAATCAGGGAAAATCGGATAATGAATCAAACATGAATATATCATGGTAAAATGTATAATGAAATAATTAAAATTGCAAAACAAGCACTAACCAAAAATAAGGATTTTCGGACAAGAAGAACTGTATGCAGTGGCCTATAAACGCAACGATCAACGACGTGCCAACAAATAAGGCACAAGAAGTCCATTTCCGACCATTAAGAAAAACACGTTTACGTTTGTTTTTCCATGCTGGACGTTGAGCCAAATTCCTTGAATATATTAATAAAGGAGAAAGAATGATTCCTATCAGGAACATTCCTAAAATTAAGGCAATTTGAAAGATGGTAATATCGCTTGGAAAATGGAGATTTAACGACGGAATCTTTATAAGTTTAAACTATATTGTGTAGTTAAAAAAAAGATTAATGAATAACGTATCACGCATAATCACGATATGCATAACCATGATATATAATGAACCGAACCTTTTTAACAGTAATGACCCATAATTCTACTGCAAGCAATGTAATTGCTTGAGCGACCACCGCTAATTCGCCAAACGTGAAGTTTTTTTTCAATAGTAATGTAATTGAGTATAATGTTGTCTGATAAAATATTTGAGAAAATAATATGTGTTGCCACGGAAATTCTATCGTTAAAAGATAAGTTAATAAACCATGATCTTACAATAATGCGAATAAGAATTTTAATATAAAGATAATAAGAATAATAAGAATGAGAATAATAATTATAATTATTAATTATAATTATTATTATAATTGTTATGAATTATAATTACTATTAATTATAATTATTAAGAATTATAATTATAAATACCATTAATTATAATTATTAACTATTATAGCTAACTATGATTATTAAATATTATTATTACTTATTATTATGATTAATTCATATTATTATTGCTTAAAACTTACTTTCAAACAAAGGTAAGAGCCCTAAAGATACCATTGATATAACCAAAAATATAGATAAAAGAGTAACTATGCTCATCGCCCAAATGACGGACATATTAGGTAAATTAACATGTTTAGACATAAACATATGAATCAAAATTCCGCATCCCATAACAATGCAAAGTTCAAAATTTGCTTCGAAAAATTCTAATTGATATTCATATAAAAAAAACAAAGAAAAACTTAATGTTGTCATTTATCGAATATGGGCCACATCAAGAACCCAAGATTATGACCACCTATATGGCCCGCTCACCCTAGATCAAGAAATCATCTTTCATACCGATGTTGATGTCATCATGTACACTTGTTGAGCGATGAATATCTACTAACTTGGCAGCAGCTACGGTAGGAATTAATAAAGTACCATAAAATGCACCATCATCGACATCATTTCTGCATTTTAATTATAATATTTTGAGAACTGATTTTAAATATATCATAATAATAATCATCGTAAAAAGAATGAAATGATACCTATAGCATTTCTCATCTGTTCCCCAAATCATGTGAGAAAGCTTTTCACCCTTGTTTGAAAATGGTAAATCAAAAGAATAGACACACCAAGTCCAAATTGCAAGTAAAATTAAATCTAATTTTGTAATCCATCAAGGAGATTAACAAGAAATAAGAAAATTTTTAAGAACAAAGCCACTTTAATTAACATTACCTAGACTTTCAATGCGTCCAACTTCATTTGCAGCCATTATTTTGACAAGTCTCATGCTAGCGTATAATGAGATAGCAAAAATTATACCACGTTCAAATACACTCGCAGTGATTGGTATTGGCGAGGGAAAAAAATTGCCCATTTTATTTCCAAAATCAGTTTTTTGGGTCGAATTTTCAAAACTATAATCGATCTCTTCCTCGCTCGTACTGCTGCCTGTTGGGGAAAAAGAAAATATATTCTTTTTCCGCTCAACGAGAAAGTTACAATGACGATTTGTACTTGAGCTCAAAACAGGAGTAAAATCAAAAACCATACGTAAAATAAAAATAAAAATCACAATGAACAAATTAATGAAAATGGAAAGTTAAGATGATTAAATGTTCTTGATATGATAACGGAACTCCAGGATGACTTATATAGTTATGTATGTACTATGTAATATAAACGATCAACAAGATTTTTTTTAAATTAGGGAATTTACAGTGTTACATTTTAATCTAAAACGAGTGGAATCACATGAAATATGTCACTATGCAATCCACATGAAATATTTCATGTTCACTGATCACCGATACAGCAAAGACCCCAATTTATTATACTGTACATAACAGAATCGACGTTAACTTGTAAGAGAATTCAATGTATTAAATGTATGCAATATGATTTAAATCAATAGTAAACGTATTTTATGTATTTATACTAGTTGATGAGCTTGTCTCGGAAAATATAAGGGAGGAAGTACTTTATTTGAAATAAAATAAAATCCGGAAACGAAAGTTCTAAGAGCTCTACAATTATTAAAACTTGATATGGATAAAGAAAGTTGGTTCTATAGACGATAAAGAAATTAATGAGCTCTAATAAAAATTTTACATAATACAGTATTACTGATCTATGTACTAGATAGAACTCTAGTTACTATTTATAAACATGACTTTTAAAAGATGTGATCAAAATAGCTAGCACTCATATTGTTACTACAAAAAAAAAAGATGACTAAAAAATTATCTCGGTTACTCTTAAAAGATTATGAATGGGATTTGTTAGAAAGAATTTTAAATGCATCTCTTTAAATCCTGGCGTGCAGCGTCTATGACTGATCACGATTCTAATGAACTGACAATAGAGGGAAAGGCGACTCAAAACGTTTCTTTCGACTACCAAGAAGGTATAATAAGTATCAGAGCATTCGAGATACCTTGAGAGGTAAGCAAAACAAAAGGAGCGCTTCAGATCGAAAAGAAATACCAGATATATGACAAATTCGCAATATTATTATACGGAAACTACAAAACGAATGAATTTGCTATCCAAGGAATGTTAAACAAGCGGTAAATGTAGTAGAATCGAAATTTTGATCGAAATCTTGTTTGTGATACAGCAATTATAAAGTATATACATATATGGTATTAAAATTATTGACGCAAGAGTCGGCTAAGCTTACACCATTATAGGACATTACCGTACGGCGCTGACTATAGTACCACGGGTACTATTCAATCAACCATCAAATGTCTTGAATAGTACCCTTCCGGATACTAATTACAGGAAAAGGTACGATAATAGTGGGGTACTTTATATAGTTTAATATTAGTTTAATAAGGATTCAAATATATATCTAACTATATAGAATAATACTCGGGTCTTATTCAATCTTCTGAATCATGAACCCATGAATTACTTTTGTCGCGATTTTTTATTAGTGAAACGTTACGTTATCAAAAAGCACTTTAAAATGTATAAATAAGTTACCCGGGCAATTGATTTGCATTAGCCAATCATGCATCACGGTCACTGGGAACAGCCAATAAAAAGCATCGCAGATCATCACGTGTCTGCGGACAGTTAATAATAAAAAATTTGAAGGGATTTATGGTAGGATTTGAACATCCGACCGTAACTGTTGTCAAGTTAGTATCGACCGTTACCGTTATCAGAAAAGTCACACCCCAATCCCGACCGTAACCGTTATCGAACTCTCGACCGTTACTGTTATCAGAAGCGTCCTCACCCACATACCATAAATCCAAGATTACTAAAAAAATTTTTATTATTTCTTTTTAAATATATCATTGTCCTGTTTGTTCATGGAAAGACATTCATATGATTGGTTAATTTTTATCGATTTACCTGTGGTTTCCCGTGATCATCAACCAATCAGATCACATACTTTTTAAATAATTATCAGTTTAATATTACTAGAAAACGGAGAAAACCTTCATATAAAGAAGCTTACAAATTAATAAATACAAGTAAAAAATTTATCACATTTATTTTAGAGAATAAATAGATGCTGAACTAATTAAAGAATCTAAAAGATAAACTATTAATTTACAGCCGGCAAACCCAAACACACTACAAGAACAGACCAAATATAAATGTTAGATTCGGTCTTCTACCACTAAAGAGCTTGAACCTATTCAATTAAGCCGTTAGCAATAAATATTTATTTAAATCTAACGTAATAAAATAGGTTTAGATAAAAACGTTTTCAGTTACACGGTCCAATAAACGGTGGAATATTTTGTCTTCTAAGTAAATTTCTTCAGGTTCCCGATTATTTCCCGATTATTTTGCCCAGTGAATGTTCGCGTTCTTACGAAACTAACGACAAAAAAAAATTTTTTTCATTAGTGAAACGTTGCGTTCTCAAAAAGTATTTTAAAGTATATCGATATAAATAAGTTACCCGGGTAATTGATTTGCATCAACCAATCCTT